AAAGTTTAGCTTGTCCATTGCCCAACGCAAATGATTCATCTCGTTGATTCTTCAAGTGAACGGCGTTAAAAGACGTCGACATAATTGTATATCGTGTATTTCTTTTATTTTCCTTAAGTTTCCTAATTATTAGAAGACGTGACACCCACGCATCGATATGCTGTTTTACAAAAAAAGACATATATTAGTAACTTACATAAATTTACAAAAAAATAATCAAATTAAAATATAAGAAAAATATAAGACTTACCCCTCCATCGAAATAGCCATTGTCTTCGACCCCTAATAATACGCCCCACCAAGACCGATCAAGCAACAAATAGATATCATCATTGAGCTTGCATATGTCAGTGAAACACCACTGGCTTCGCTCATGTAGATAAAAATCAACTGCGGTCTTAGCCCAAAGGGTGTTATCCAGAATTGTGTCCGGTAGTTATTTCCTATCCACTTCAGATACCGGTATGGTACTGGCCGGTAACTCATACGAGAGCCAACTTGAATTCATCATGTCCGGGACGTCAGAGGGTTTCTCAAGAATCCTACATATGACGCCATGTGAATCGGGCTCTTGAATGGTGGGAGGGACCTCTTCAACGATGACAGTGACCTCTTGAACGGTGGGAGGGGACTCTCGAGGAATGATAGGGGCCTCTTCAACGATAGGAGTGGACTCTTGAGGGATGACAGGCGAGTCGGGCTTCTTCTAGCGGTGTCTTCGCACTATTGGGGTATACGGAGACTTAATAGCACGTGCACGCCGTCTGATGCGTGAACTCTGTCGTGCAAGAAAAACCCGACGTAAAGCATCCACCTTATCGGTCCGCTAAATAATTAAATACAAATATCAGTAAATAAACAGACATGATATTTAAACAGTGAAAACAAAGACAAATATATTTCAAACTTTCAACCAAAAGACAAAACAAAAAGACAAATACTAACTTCACAGTGTTAATAAACAGTTTAGCAGTAGTGGCAGCAACCGAATAAATTTACTAAGCAATCTAAGTGAAATGGTTAATTTAAGTGAAATTACGAGTAAATTTATCATCAAGTTAAATATGGAAAATCTTAAACTTACCTCGTTGCGTAGAGTATGAACCTCATTCTGCAACGATACTACCATCTCACGTAGAGCGGCAACCTCACCACGTAAAGTAGACACCTCCACACGCCATGCACCATCGTTATCGAGTAGAGTACCGATCTCCTCACGCAAGGCATTGACCTCATCACGTAACTCCCTTGACTCATCCCGTGGAGGTGGAGAACAGGGAGATAGAAGTCGTGGCATCTTTTCCGGTCGCCTATCATGAGGTGATGGTGGAGAAGAGGCTCGATGATGTGACGGGATAGGTGATGGCTCTCGTTGTAGAGGTGTATAGTCGGGTCGATCAGGTGATGGCTCTCGAAGTGGAGGAAGTGGAGGCTGCTCATCATTCGTGCCATCAAGAAAACGCTGACTAGCTTGCCACCAATCAGTGGCAAGCTCAGCCTCCGTGGGTGTCAGTCTAATTAATGGAATGTTGGCCTCCTAAAAATATAAAAACTCAAACAAAGTTAAACGTCTACTATTAATAACTTGTTTATATATGATAGTATTTGTATTAACTTACATTATTTATTGTCGCATATGGTATTAAGTCTTCTCAATCTAACAGACGTTTCCTCTTCCAGGAAATAGCCCTGGGAATATCATTTGAAGTTTTTATTGCATATGTCTTCATGGCGGGAAAGGCCTCGAATATCCAAATCTACAAACAATATAATAACAAACATTAGTAATTGTTAAATAATTAATTATAATTTTGAAAACATTATATAGAAATTCTTACCTTAAAGGCCCAAACAAAGCCTGACAAAGTGTATTTCGACCCATCGCCCCGCAAACTTTTACGGTCATCAAAGGCAGACGACAACTTAGTCCATGTAGCTTTCCATAAATACGAACCCCACGAAAATAGATTCCATGCATTTAGGTCCTCTACCAATAATATTAGCTCCTGAGGAATAGGTTGTCTGGCCTCTCTGCCTAAAAAGTCGGCATACAAAAGTAGTAGAAGGCATACTCGGACAACATTGACGTCATTCATCCGAGTAAAACCATCTTTCTTATTAAACAATTTCTTCATGTCGTCGACGTGTAAGTTCGGCTTCTCTATTGACTCATCAGGAAAAACCCTGGATAACCATGATGGGCGGGTGATATGACGAGTGTACCGGCCTACATCATCGTGTCCGAATCGTAGACCAGTGATTAAGCAGAACTTCTTCCGCCCAAAATAAGTATACGCCGGTGGAAAATGAAACCATATCTCTTCCCCACCACGTTGTATACTGTCGGGTAGATCTCTAGTCATGGTCTGAAGCCACAAATGGGTCAAATTAGCATCTCCACCCGGATGCTGTACTCTCAGCCATGGCCCGAAGCAGGTTTCCTCAAACAATTTTCTTTGTGCAGGTGAAAGCTTCGAAGCAATTGTAGTGACTAGGCTAACTTTATTCCTTAATGTCAATGAAGCCGAATTTTTTTTTTACAAAAACAATAAACATACCAAGTTAGATATACCAAAAACTACACTGTCAAGATATACCAAAAACAATAAACATAAATAGTAGTTTATTCTTGAAACTAAAATTTGCAACACTGTTTTGTCTTTTGGTTGAAATGAAAATCGCAACGAGATAATGAGAATCGCAACGCGGAAATGACTATCGCAACGAGAGAATCGCAACGCGAAATGACTATCGCAACGAGAGAATCGCAACGCGAAATGAAAATCGCAACGAGAGAATCGCAACGCGAAATGAAAATCGCAATGCGATTTTGGTTTCGCGTTGCGATTTTTATTTCGCATTGCGATAGTTATTTCCGCGTTGCGATTTTCATTCTCGAAACTATTCTTCTTCTGCATTACTTCAACCAAAAGACAAAACAAAGACAAATACTAACTTCACAGGCTAAACATTTTAGCAGTATTGGCAGCAATCGAATGAATTTAATAAGAAATCTAAGTGAAATGGTTAATCTATTATTGAAATTACCAGTAAACTTATCATCAATCTCAATATGAAAAACCTAAAATAATGCAAAAATTTCAAAATAAAAATAAAACAAAACTAACCCTCGGAGGTTGATTTTCCATTTCTGAATGATTGTGAGGGATTTTTGACTGTGAATGGTTGTGAGGGATTTCGCCGGCGATGGGGACGGAAATCTTCGGAGATGGGGATGGATTTCGCCGTAGAGAGTGAGAGATGGAGATGTGACTGAGTGTTGTGATTTTGGGTTTGAGGTTATGAGTTACGATTACTGTGGACGGTTCAGTTTCCGATTTATTAAGAAAAAATTCGTGTTTGGAATTTAAAAAAAAATACGCGTTAATACGAATGGCGCTATGTAAATCGCGTTGCAAAAGTCAGTATTTCGTTGCGATTTTGTATTATCGCATTGCGATAGTAAGTATCGCATTGCGATAGTCAGTATCGCATTGCGATTTTCCCAATTCGCGTTGTTATTTACTTATTCGCATTGCGAATTGGGAAAATCGCAACGACACGGTAGACCATCGCAACGCGATTTCCAACTATCGCAACGCGAATTTGCGATAATGGAGATCGCGTTGCGAATTAGCGATCGCATTGCGATTTTGTTGGTCATTTTGGCAAATCCGGAAAAAGTTGGTTAAAATCGTATATTATAAGGCATTTTTGGTCACTGAGGCGATTTTCTCTTATTATTATTATTATTATTATTATTATTATTATTGTAAAATAAATATTAAAAGTTTAATATATCATTAAGTTTTTTTATAAACTATATCTGATACATTGGATTTTAAGAATTATGTCATTTACACTACTTATGTTCAATTTACTCGATTGTTATTAGGGTTGTTATTAAGATAAACAACACTGTTCTTTGTTGAACTATACTATTTTACCCATTGTATTTTTTAATTTTTTTAATTTACTCACTGAGCTTTTGAGTTGTTTATGTTTTGATCACTCGAAATAAAAACAGAAGGTGATCGGATGTCACCATCGACCACCGTCGACCATTGTAGATGTTGGTCGTTCGGTCCCAAATTTCATGGGTAGTTTAAATTTCATGGGTAGTTTAGTCTCAACACTCTGAGTCCGAATTCGCCCTCCATTTTGCCGGAACTTATTTTGAAATCCACGAATCGAGATCAAAAGTGAGGAAGTCGAAATGTTTTAGTTGAGACTCATGGGTTTTGGGATATTTTCTGGTGAAACAACCACCAAATTCGGACTAAGGGGTCGAGACGAATCGACACATGAAATTGATATCGAACGATCATCGTCTACAGCAATCAACGGTGACACCACCCACCTTCTGTTTTTATTTTATATAATAAAAATGTCACGTCGTATAAAAATAATAATAAAATAATTCAAAGTGATAAAAATAAGAGTAATTCAAAAAATCAAAAAATAAATTAAAAAAGTAAAAGTAAAATGAGTAAAATAGGATAAATAGTAAAGTTCAGTGTAGAATGGTGTATTTTACCATATTAAATTTTATTTTTTATTTTAAGTATATCATTGAATCGTTAAATTATTAATATTATAATGAGGTGGTTGCTGATTATTGAGATAATTATAATGACATAATTTTGGTGGAGAAATTTTTTTAAATCGTTAACCCAACAAATGCCAGAAATGATTCTAGTGTGTCCTTCAGAGACTTGTATCTGATGAATAAGAAACTAAAAGAAATGTACAAGTTGCAGAGTTGCATTGCAGCACGTGGGAATTAATGATGGGATTGGGCCATCCCAGAAAGCGTACACATTGGAGAATCAGCAACGTTTTGTCGACACTCAAAAGCAAGAAAGAAAACCAGTGCTCGAAGAATCACTCATGGATCACATTAGTGTGGTTGCCGGTTAAAAACAGGATAAGAATACATACCACTTTTGTTTTTCCTTCAAATTAAAAGCCCCACAAACCAGGATAAGCATTAGCCCCCAGTACCTCTCCGTATAAAAATCAAAGCTTTGAGCTTTGACTAAACTACCTTTTTGTCATTGAGTTATCCCTACATCAATCGCCGTACACGTGTCCTGACAGTCTTCTCACATACCCGAACTTAATGGTATGATCGGATGGTGTTGAATGATGGTACCCTTTGGAATTGTTGTTAAAACCAACCCTCTTCGTCCCATGTTTTCTTATGTCACAACTGGATAACGATCCAGGTAAGTTAAAGTTGTCAGCTTTGTTGAACTTCGAGTTACGTTATAAAGAAAAAAAGGACCGCTGCAATAGTGTGTGTGTGTGTGTGTGAGTGAGTGAAGTTTCTTTTCAAGCTTTTATCATAGATATGGCTATGGCTAGTGTTAAACTAGGGAGACAAAGTAGCATACAAGATAGTCCAAGGAGCCCCAAAGCAAAGCTCGGGATGCAAGTTGAAGATCTATGGTATGTTCAGGAACCAGAGCATAGTCCTAATGACAAACTCAACGCTTGCTTTGAAAGCATCCCTGTTTCTGCTTTCCCTATTGCTCCTCAATGTAATTGTTATTTTTTTTACTTGTTTTGTACGGATCCTTTTGATCATTCACTCTTTGTTTCAGATCATGTTTTGATTGCTTTGATTGATCAAGGATTTTGGGATTTCTTTTCTTTTTCTTGGCGAGTGGATTTGAAGTAAAAAGATGATGAATTTGGTTGATTTATCATTCACTGTTATTATATTCGTGCTTAGGAGTTCTTACACCTGAAAATCTTTAAAAAAATTTGTTGTGTTTATATTACACGGCTGACATAGGGGAAAACATGAGGCAAGACATGCTTACATGGATTGTTAGGTCTAGTTCTTTCTTGGGGTGCCAGTCAGTTGCATCAGTTGTTTCCTTTTTAGTATAATGACTGTCAGTGTGACTGTGATATATGTATGATGATATAATCTTTGTAATGTTTGTGTTTCCAGGGATTGAGATCAAATCGGATGCGAGTCAGTCCGAGGCTGTTCAAATACTAGCACAAAACAAGATCCTTAGCGCACCCGTTGTTGATGTCGATGCACCGGAAGATGCAAGTTGCAACATGGATGGACAGATACATTGGCATTGTAGAGTTTGCAGGAATTGCTGTATAGATTTTGCAACAGGTCGAAAACAGAACCGCATATGATGAACTCTTTTTCTCTATAAGCCTTTCATTTGGGAAACTAACAATGTTTGAGTTTTTCTTCTACAGTCTGAACCATCTTCACCTAGAAGCCAGTCATCTTGAATTTTTTCAGTTTCTTAGTTGTGCTTATGCTTTAACTTGTGAGAGCATACAGGTTCGTGATATCTCGGGTCGTTCCGCTGGGCACCGTTCCTTGCATTGCAGAAATCGAACACCTTTCTGACCATGTTGTTACTGCTTTCTAAGTTGTTATTCACATGCTAGCAGAATGTACTGGACTTCACTGGTTCGAAAGTTGGGGAAGTAAGAAAACGAGAGTGAGTTGAGATTTAAAATCGTCCTCAAGAATTTTCTCTAAAATGATAGTATCCGCGCAGACGTAAGACAAGACGAACGGCGGCGGCGGAGAAAATGGGAAATCCAAAACATAAATACCCATTTTCAATAGTATTTCTAATACTATGTGAGATTGAACATTACCAACAATGATAACTTGCAAGAGAGATGAAACGGTAAAAGAGTTGATCCAGACGCGACTCGGAGAAGATCCAAAGGGTGTACGTCGTGGATGATGATGGGAACTTGGAAGGAGCGATCACACTTGGGGACATCATCTCGAGGCTGGTACACAAGCCACGCGGCTACTTTGGTGATTTCTTCGACGGCGTGTTGCCTTTACCTGAAAACAGCAGGGTGTGAAAGAGTAACAACCAACACTCGTACATAGATTTCATATGAATGATGAAACTCCCATCTTTTATTGTGATTTTTTGTTTTTCCATTATCCTGTGTTTTGGGAGAGTAATTGGATATGCAGCAGATTGTAAGATAGACGAGCCTCTTGTTCTTGACAGGTTCCGAGTTCTGTAAATTTATGGTGTTTTCAATAACTGGATTTGATGTTTTGTGTTGCAACTTGCAATCTAATAAGAGGAGCCATCTTCTTGGAATGAATATACATTCTATCTATATATAATAATTTCTCTAATATTACTCAAACATTTCAAAATTACATATATGTATGATTCGGTTCTAAAATAGATATTTGAACTGTCTTCACTGTCGCATACTAAAGTTAATAAAGGCCATCGATCCTCACTCATTATAAGTTCATATAAAGCAAATTCAGTTCTGGAAGATACATTTCTTTGTCTCCGAGAAAGTTTACCTTAAGAAACATAAGAGATACACATTGGAAGCAAATTATTATCATACACAGATTTATCTCACGAAGACATTATTTTACTCGACAACTTAAAAGGGATAAAATTTGGATAAAAAAATCCATGTTATACAAAATACATATGCGTAGAAAATATCGATACGAAAAATGATCTCATAATAAAAAATATTCATAATTCTTATTATGAAAACATTTTATTTTCAAAGATCAATAATAAATTAACGCCTTTAAAAATAAAGCACAACCTCTTTTTGAATTGAAAAGAGGGTTGAAAAAGAGGATAAAATATCAAAATAATTATTTACAATGATAATGCGTGAGAAATTAAAAACATATTTATAAAATTAATTTCATTTATAAAACGAAGAGATCTCAAATTAAACTACTAATCTGAGTTTGTAATTTAAGGAGGGGAAAAGATATAATTTTTAAAATTTTGTAATTTGACTCTTAAAAATATACGGAATTATCAATATCAAAATTATTGTGTTTAAAATTTAAAATCGTCGATGATTATTTTAAGCTAAGTATAACCGAACACCTTATTTAAAACAAATTTATTTGAGATTATAGTATTTATATATATGGGATAGGATTCTATTACAATAAATATTTTTTATTTATATATGTCCCTTTAAATAATATTATTATTTCTATGATTTTAATTTACATCCTATTCTTGGAGTGCAATGTCCCTTGTCAATACACTCGACACTTATATGTAACTTAATAAATATTTTAAATTTAATTCGAAAAATTTCAATCTAAACTTTATTTTATTTGAATTAATTCAAAAAAATAAAATAAATAAGACTCAAAAACTCAATTAATAAAAAAAAATCAATTTAACCATACAATCGTACTTAATTGGAGGCTGGACATTCCCATGCATGAAATAAAATGAAGAGAACTCCAAAGTAGGTCTGGGAGTAGAGGTGTACAAAAAATTCGAATATTTAATTTTGTGTAAAAAATATTCGAAATCGGATTCGGGAAAAATCGGTTTTTTTTAAACTGGATCGGATATTTTAAAACCGGATAGTATAACCGGTTTGGGAAAAATTGGATGACCGGATTTTTTACCGGATTAAAATCCGGTCTGAGGTTTAAAAATCCGGTATGAGGTTTAAAAAATTGGATGATCGGATTTTTTACCGGATTAAAAACCGGTTTTTAAAAAAAAACCGGTTTTTTTCAAACCGAAACCGGTTACACCGGTTACATCATCCGGCCCTCCAAACCGGTTATGATCCGAACTGATTTTTTTATAAACCGATTTTTTAGCTTAGTGAAAAAACCGGATCAGTTTTTATCCGATCCGGATCAAATTTAAATCCGGCTATGTGCATCTCTATCCGGGAGCCCAAACAATTTGTAAAGGTCAAATTTGGACAGTTTTTACCCTTTAACCTCAAAAGTATAAGCATATATTAGTTTAAGGATTTAGGAAACAACCTCAGCAATTAGGTTCTACCAATAAGCCAACTTGAAACCCAACTGCAACCATTTTTTTAGCAACATTTTTCGTTGCCAACAATTTTCCTCACTGTCACCCAACCACGGCATTCTTCGTGCTGCATAATTGGAGACGCTTATTTGATTAGAAGTATGACTCAATTCGGAAAAAAAATAAAAAAAATTTTCGTGTTGTAATTTTATAAATTTAACTCAAATCGAAAAAATTTCACCCCCGTCGGGGCAACAAAACACGAACAAAGAAATGATCTTCAACCAGCAATGAGAGAGGTGGACAGGAAGCCAATACCACCCAAAATTTCAGTTTATCTTCAATGGACCACCCAAGGGTTCTTTCATAACTGATGTATCAGGTTTCAAATGGACCCTGCAATTTCTATACATGAATAGGCCAATGACTTGCCTAATGAAATCATCAATTTATGCGGCAAAATCTTCAAACCTAAGTTGAGTTCTTGTCGTAAACCATAGACATTGCATGTTCATTTGTTATAATAACAAAATCATGTCTGAAAACACACATGTTGGTTTATTTACGTTCCTTGTTGCTTCGAAACAGGGTGGCCCCGTTTGCTGTCACCTTGGTGTTTTCTGCTTTTTCTCGGATTGTTCTTTCGCTTCAGGCAATTGTCACGCCTTGAAAAGGTGGGGACATGAATCCCACATCGGAAATAAAAAGGGAGGTCCTAGAGTTTATAAACGGTAGCGCTTCACATCCTATACCCTACATGAAGGGAAGTTTCTGCATTCCTATACCTATGCCCTATTCAAAGTGCCCTGCCATTGATGTATTAATTCTATTATAGAAACACCCTAAACACTTGAAAGAGACTCTTAAGCAGTCATGCCATACCTTATACTAACACTTCTATGTAGAAAAACGGATAAAACATCTGCAAGACGGGACCGGAAAGTTCACAATCCACAGACAGCATATTGGTCCTACCCTCATAACACTTGTGCATATAACATGGATAAAATCTGAATTAAGCTTTTACGGCAACACATTATAACAAATAAAGAAATAAAAGTGCAAGAGATGTAGCCATTCCTTTAAGATAGACATAACTGGTTATTCATCATGTTGTACGAAAGTATTGCGTAGAACCTTACCTGAAGGTATTAGCAACACAATATATTTACTGGTTTCAATCCTAAACACATAAACATTGCCATTAGTCCTTATATTAAGATTACAGAAGGAGAATTTTGTTTCAGCAGACGGAAGTTCAGGCGCTGACAAATATTGTGAACAATATTTTCAAAGATACTAACGGGTCTATGGGGCATGACAAAATGGAGAAGTAACAATATTGCAATGCTAATGGTGATTCGAAAAGTAAAATATATGAACCACAATAAAATCCACATATATAGAAACTATAAACTATAAACATGTACAAGATACAGTATATAATGGGGTGACAAGTAGCTTTCACAAAACCTGTGTTTAAAACATCATACAGATAAAAAAGAAAAAAAAATGAGAAAAGTCATCGAATAGATAATATCGGTAACACTCTCGCTTCGATTAGTCCTTGATGAGCGGAAAGGGCATACCTGTAACGAGAGTCCAGTACCCTATGAACTCTTTCTTCTCATATGGTGAAGAACAAGAGGTGTTCCTTCAAACAAATCCAATAGATAGTTTTCCAAGTCATCGGATGTATACTTGATGTATTTTCCAGCATACCTTCCACTCTCTAGCTGACTCCCGAACCTTCCCACGAAGGAGCGATAAGCTGGAAGTACTTTCTCTGATATAGAAATTCGAAGCTCTTCACGAAGTTGAGGATCTGGAACCTTCCAACCCGTCTGAATCCTATATATATCTTCGAAACAGGCATTGAAGCTCTTAAATCTTTCCTTCAAGGCTACCTTGGAGGCACTATTCGAGCTACCACCGATTCCTTCATCTTTCAAACAATATAAAGCTTTGGTCCAACAAGCCCTCAGATAACTTGTAGCATATTGGCGTATCGAGCCTCGCCGCTTACGAACCCAATTGTCTCCCAAAAGCTTTCTTAACTCAGAATCCTTCACCTTTTGCACTATATACAGATTATTATTCATTAAAAAGATACAATGTAATGCACCATCCTCATACAGTTTTGACTTCTCCTCGAGATTGGATTCCAAAGAGGATATCAACAACAGCAACCGTTTCGCAAAAGGAGTAATTGTCTCTAGCTCACCATCCTCACTCTGCAGTCCGTTTGCTTCATCCTCGTCACTCTCCAATAACAAATTCAAAGTCTCACTATAATCCACAAGCAGTTTCACATAATTCATCACATAACGAATAAGTGGATGAATCTCCCCATTTTGCATAGGTTTCTTCGAAGCCTCGTTCTTCACAGCATTCTCAAACTCCAAAAATGTTCCTTTTACCGCATCCCCTAATCCAGCCAACACTCCCTTTGCCTCAGTGCACATATACTCGTCTGTGAACATCATCTCGAACTCAAGCAATGCATCTGCTAACACATCATACATATCCAGGATCCTAAAGAGCTTCTCAGATGATCTTTTCCCAATAGCCACTGCTTCCCCAAAATTCAACAACTGCATTACACACCCTCTTGCAGTCTCATTAAAACAAATCTCTTTAATCGAATTCGACCCGCCGAAAATCTGATCACAAAGCCTCTTTTCCCCCTTCAAAAGAACCCTAACAGTAATCTTAACTGCCTGAACCCATTTCTTCATCTTTTCATCCAAAGCTTTCCATTCGATCTTCTGAACTTCCTCAATACTTAATTTCTCAACTCCGATAATCACTAAACACTCATCCAAAGCATCACGCCTAACGTTGCTACAAGCTTGAACACACTCTTTTTCATACCCGGCATTGATCATCCGCTCAGCAATCTCTTTCAATTCCACAACAGCATCAGGGTTTATCAAATCCACACATAATTCATCACCGAAACTCAGTCCGCGGTCGTGAAAGCACCCTCTTTCGCTATCAACTTCTCCGAAACTCTCAAATTCTTCACCAATTTCACCTTCATTCGCCGCGAACGAAAGCGAAACCCTCCTGATGGAACC